CAGTAACTCTCCAACCCCTGTATCCAGCGGCGAGGAACACGAGCCACCGTGTTTCCAACGGGGTTGCGGCGTTAATCGTGTAGCGCTGAAAGGTGTAACCGATTCGTGACGGTCGTAAGATTCACGAGAGCGGCAGTAAATTCGTGGAACAGGCTCTGGATGCTCGCTGGAGCGGAGGGTGCGATGCATCACCATGGGGACCTCGTTTAATTATTCCCGAAGAATCCGACAATTTTCCGTTTTACCGACCCCTTACAATACGGATCCCGATAGTTGGAAGAGGGAAGTGTGACAGTGTGAAATGTTGGGAGGATGTGTTTTCTCAAGGGATCTTTTTTTTAATAGATTTGAAAATAGGATAGATTCTTAACAACCCTTTTAACACGAAGGGTAAAACTGTTGAAAAATCTGTTTAAAACAAGACTTTTTAGTTTATGGAATAAAGTTTTTTTATTTTATTGATAAATATTGGATTTGTGTTGAATTTTTCTTTGCAATGGATATCGACAATTATCGAGGAAAGTGGAACGATATGGAAAGATATGTTTTGCTTGTTTTCCTAAAAGAGATTTTTAAGATAAATTTTTAATTTATTAAAAAGAATTAATGATAGATATTGTATTTATATGTTAAGTTTTATAAATTTATTATAAATAATTGTACATATAATAATTGGATTTATAAAGCAATAACAAATTTAAAAAATTCAAGTATGAAAACAAAATCTTTTTCCCTTTTAAACTATCTCCTGACGAAGAAGTAATATTGAAAATGAATCAAGTTCTTCTGGTTTCCAGCCGATAACCGTATACGCTTCCACATTCATCTATCATAATTTATATATACTGGTTTAGCTATGTGAAAAAATGTAATACTAGTTAATAAATAGTAATTCGGAATATTGTCGTTTTATTCTGTAAGTTTTATTCCTATTTTATATACGTATAAATCTAATCTATCTAAGTAAATCGTATCATATATCTATCTGTAAAGACGAAAATGACAAGCAATAATTTTCGAAATGTAATAAAATGTGTAATTTATCTAATCCGATTATCAAAACATTATAAGAAGTATTTTTTTTTAGAAACAATGAAAAATAAAATCACAGTTTCAAAATCTGTGTTGTCAATTTACTAATCCAATATATGTATAAAATGTCTAATTAATGATTATCTCTAATACAAGAATAATTTAAATATAAAGAGAAACTTTAAATGAATAAAATTTATCAATTTAAGCCTTTTTGATATAAATTACATTAAGCAGATAATAAATAGATCATTAATTCATTTTTAATAACTACAATTTGAAAAAATTAAAATATTTATATTATCTAAATATTTATAAACATTGAAAATGTTAATTAGATCTAAAATTATTTTTGAACAGAACCAAATTTTTATCCAAGTTTTCAGTGTTATCTTCATCCTTTTATAAAGAGGATATAAAGAGGAATCATAAACAAATATAATAATAATTATCCAATTTTTCAATATCATTTTCATAAAGAGGATAGGTTCATAAACAAATATAATAATAAATTATATTAAACAGGTAATAAATAAATCATAATTACAATTTGGAAAAATTAAAATATTTACATTATTTGAATATTCATAAACATTGGTATGGTGAAAATGTTAATTAGATCTAAAGTTATTTTTGAACAGAACCAAATTTTTATCCAACTTTTCAGTGTCATCTTCATCCTTTCATAAAGAGGATAGGTTCATAAACAAATATAATAATAAATTATATTAAACAGGTAATAAA